ATTTTCCCAATTCCAATTGCGCACGTGACATGAGTGCAACCAGCTCAGTTTGAATGTCAATAACTTCTTCCTCTGTCATGGCTCCTGTTAATACATCGTCCCCGTAGAAATCCTCAAGTAATATCTTAGCTGCTCTAGGAAACTCATGCTTGTGGTCCTTGGCAAGTTCTAATAACTTGACTGCGAGGAATGGCGCAGACGCAGTCCCGTATATAACTGTGCAGAGTCTGAAGTGTTTCAATAGTGCTGAAGGATGTTCTCTCCATAATATTCGCTGAAAGTCCTGATGTTTAAATGCAACCAAAATTAGTCTAAACATTTTCACTATATCAGCCGAGAATACAAACTTGTGCATTCGAAACCTCATGCATACGTTGAACAGATTGCGTTGTATACATGGACCAATATAAAGCGCATCGTTTAGAGACCGACCATCTTGGTATTGAAATGAGCCCTCAAATACCACACGCAGCTTTGCCGCTAGCATCGGATGGTGCGGCATGTAGAAAACCTTCTTCGAAGTGGCGTCTTCTTCTGCATCCACCTCCTTCATGTGATCCAGTTGCATGTACTCCCTCATGAATTGCACATACTGCGATCGTAAAGGTGCATCCTTCATTAAACGACGTTCAACTGCCAAGAAGCGACACTTGGCTCCATGAAAGGTGTTTGCAAACTCTGGGTTCCCTTGCTTGAATGATAGCTCGACTATGTATCTCTCTTCGGCATTACGGGAGTGTGTTTGGACGAAATGAGTCTCCACTAACTCATCTTCTGTATTGGCAGACGTGAACAATGGAAGTTCTTCCCGTTCCCAAAACCGTTGTAACAATGCGTTGATGTCCATGGTAGCTAAGAATGACGTGGTTGTAGTACATACTCCTCCCACTGATGTGATGATCCATCCAAATATTGAATCAATAGCAATTGTGTTTCCCTGGATATTACACAACTTATCTCGAGTAAGAACCGTCGAAATGTGATCGTTACCAAGCAAAATGTCAATTTAAGCGTTGGTATTGAATGCGGCGTCTGCTAGGGTGTGGCCGCTAAACATAGAGAGGTCTGCTGCATTTATAGTTTAATAATAATAATAAGTATAAGTATGCACCATCAAATGGTGCGATATGAATCCGTGGCAGTTCCCAATCCTTCACTGATGGTCCTGCGACTTTCTGTGAGCCTGACGGTGACTCGTTATCCACCTGCTATGGTAGCAGTCGTTGCATTAACTGCTCCATTTGCATCTGCTGCATTTGTTGCATTTGCTTCTAAGACTGTTGCTGCATTTGTTGTATTTGCATCTGAGACTGTTGCTGTAATTGTTGTAAAATGCCTTGGATGGGCAAATTATCTACTTCCCCAAACACATTAGATATGGTATTGGATTCTTCCAGTTTGTGGGGTTTGTACTCAGCGCGTAGTATCTTAAGAAGAGCACAAGCTCGTTCAAAGCGCTCCTCATATATGTATATTGTTTTCACTTGCTGGATCCACATATCCCTGCACATCTTCATATTTGTAAAGTTCGTCAGCAAGGTTGACACACTGCTTCCAAACAAGAACCAACGTGTCCAATTTGGTATCAGTATCTTAAAATGTGCAGCCATCAGGTGGATGTTCCGCATATCCAGAAATACGGGTAATTGTCGCAGCTTGCTGCGTTGCCAGCAGTCTATCCAAGTTGTCCAAAATAACCAGGTAATAACTTAATGTGATGAAATTACTGCGTCTCTAGCAGCCGAGCAAAACCATTAAGACAAATCACCGCACCTTTCTAATAGTGCGTACTCCGTATTACGTATGATGCCAAATATCGATACGTAATTCCAAGAATTTGCAAATGCAGCGTCTCCAGCAGCAAAAACAAGACAAGACAAAACACTTCACTTTTCCAATAGTGCGTGCTGTTTCCAACAACTCCAAGTGAGCATTAAGTAGCAATGCCCAACGGCTCCGGCTCGAAGGACCATATTTATGATGAATAATTAAACATTTCTTTATTTCATACTACTACAACAGCCAATTGCTGGTACGCTCAACTTGTCCGTTCGTTTGCTTACTSAATACTAACATAAGWTTATCGACTTAACCGATAATTGATCTCGATGCGGCTCTTCATTCGCCGATAATAATGAAAGCTA